GACCGGAGTAGATTACTGATTCACCAGTTGACAATTTCGGCAGTCTACATCGATTCCGTCTGCTCTCATAGATTCTCATTCTCGTTCTTGCTTTCATCAAGAGAAGACATATCGTCTGGATGGCTGGCTTCCTGAAGGCTTTCACCGGCTCGCGTCATTTCGCCTCTCCAATTCCAGAGAGAAATGTTTGTTTTTTGCACTTTTCTTGTGCGTTGAAGTTACCCAACCAGCTTGATTGGTTTTGTGAGGTAGAGTAGCTAGCCCTGAGCACAACCCTGCCTCTTTACCCGGGTTTGGGGCAGGCTAGAAAACTAGCGAGCTAGCATATATATATATATAATCTTTAGAGGCTTTCCATGCTGTAATCAATTTCGCGGACATATTATATATAACACATTATCCAACATTCTTATCACAAATATCTCGTACTTATATTATTGAACTTACTTACCACAAAACCATACACTAATTTCATACATTAGAGACTAGATTAAGGCGGGTGATGTGATGTAAATTATTACTATTATTATTACTAATACTGCAGTACTAACCTAATTTAATTGAACCATATTTCTTACTTATTTTCATGACATTTTTTCACCTAAAATAATTTGACAAGTTCATACGTAACGTGATCAGAATGTTTATCGCTTAGTACGCATCGTCATCGAATAAAGTATAGAATGGCAGTCAAACCTCACCCCACCTCAACTTCATCGAATTCGAAAAGACCTTTGACAGCCAGAGATGACTGAGAAGTAATTTGGAAACTACTTCAGTACTATGACGTGCAGTACCCCAAGTCTTTATCAAACCTCATTCAACAGATGGCTGGCTATATGACAGTGTTTGTCACGTGTCAGGTGATCCACAATGGGAAACTCAGTGTGGCGTTCGAATGCTGCCTGCCTGTTATCACCGATGATATTCTTAATTGTGGTGGACTGGACTATGCGTTAGACTGTGAGTGGGGAGCGAGGAGACAGGAATACGCTGGATCACTGATAAGAAGACTCTAGGAGATCTGGATTTTACGACAGATGATATTTGTTTAATGTCGCATACACAAACTTGAAGACCTGCAGGCAGCGAAGAGGAGACACCGGGTGGACATAGAGAAGATGGAAGTGATGAAGATAACCAACGACCAGCAACAACAACAACAGCGACCGGCACCGATCATCTTCAACCGGAGAGATTTAACAGAGGTTACCTGCTTCATTTATCTAGGAAGCATCGTTTCAACTACAGGCGGAGCGGATGAAGATGTCAAAGCCAGTCAGTCAGAATCGGAAAGACGAGATACACCACCATCAACCTGAAATCAGTTTGGAAATCTGCACTCAGCATAAGGAAGAAGATCCGGTCCTTCTATACTGATCAGAAACTTGGCCAGTGTGTCATAAAAAGGATTTCCAACAGCATGTTGCAGACTTTCATCAACAGCTTCCCCCTTCTCTGTCTCCATACTAAAAGTTAAATGGCCAGCTAGCCGGTCAGAAAGAATTGCTAACAAGAAACTCTGGCTGGGAACAAACCACTAAGCAAGAGCCGATCGCTCAACAAGTGGATATGTATGAGAAGATGGCGATGGATCGGGAATACGCCACTGACGAGGCCACCGAATGACATCGTTCGCAATACAGGCCATTGCTGGAGTAGCATCCAAATGAGAATCGACATGTGCGTTGTCCTAGAGTGACATGGAGGAGATCGTGTGAGTTGGAGGAGGAGATGAGAAATTATAGGCAATCGTGGAACCGGTTGAAGAGGATGACAGAAAATAGACGAAAGTGGAGATTTGCTCAGGTTGAGGCCTTATGTTTCACTCTGAACTCAAGGAAATAATAATGTTTCAAATGGTTTCATTAACGTCTTATTTTCTCTAAGTATATCAAGGACGTTAAATGTAACTGAATCGGATTTGATTGGCTGTCTTAGCCAACTTAATCCAAATGGACATAAATCAATCACACTGAACTTCTCACAGTGTTCCTATCAATCAATCTGCCAAAGGCAGTTAGACTTCAAATTCTGAGAACAAAAGGAACAACAACGCAGATAATTAATCCATAAAAAAGACGCACAACCTCTCTATATATACTTACTACTCACTGATAGATGTGAGCAGTCAGGTGTGGTGAGAGCTGGCTGCTAGCCCAAGTTGGTAGACGTCAATGTTTATGTCCCTAATATTGGCGAAAACCAACAAACTAGCTGTGGATAAGCAGTGAAGACAGGACCTCAAGTGGATATAGAGAAGACAAAGGCGATGAAGATACACAACCGCACCAACAAGAACAACCAACAGCTATCACAATCAGTGCCTTCATTTCTCCCACCAGACAGCATAGTTTCAACTCCACAGATGAGGAGGATGTCAAAATCACGATCTCGGAAAGGTAAGGCAAATCTTCATTAAATATGAAATCAGTTTAGAACTTTCCTGTGCCCAGCACCAATAACAAGATTCGGATTGTGTTCAATACAAATGTGAAGTCACTCATTTCTTCTGAGTGGGTCAGAAACTTGGTGTCCGTGTCACAACAAGCATTTCCAGACTGCTACAGCAGACTTCTATCAACAGCTTCCTTCACTGGCTTCACATATTGAGGATCAGATGGCCAGTGGGTCAGAAAGAATTAGCAACAAGAAACTCTGGCTGGGAACACACTAACCAAGGACCTTTTGCTCAACAAATATGCAGGAGTAAGTGGAGATGGATCGGGCACACTTTGTGGAGACCGTTTGGTGGCTCTGCACTCCATACCATCATTCTGGTGGAACCTGAATGGGACGCAACGAGTTGGGCGTCGGTCCAAAGGTAACATGGAGGAGATCATGCGAGGATGGCAGATGACAGATTATGGGAAATCATTGACCCAGCGGAGGGAGGAGAGCAGAAAATACAAAAAGGTGGAGATGTGTTGTTGAAGCCCTATGATCCACTCGGAACCAAAAAAATGGAACAATTATCATATAAATAATCATTAAGAGCATGCAAGTACAACACATATCCAGCTGACAATTTCCCCTCTCCCCCACCAATCCACTGCTAGTCACTATCCATCAAATTAAGAAAAGAAAACACTTTCATGTCAAAAAGTGTTGCGTAATAAATTAAGAAGAGAAAAAAAGACTACGTCGCCCCCCTCTCCCTATTAAATTATAATTGTCCAAATTATTTTATTTTTATTTTGACCACTTCATCTTTAATTACGTGTTATTCTTGTAAAATTAATTTATTCTATCCATTTCTACTTTTTTAAATGTGTATTGATTTTCTGCGTTAATTATCTACCCATTGACATTTCGACACTGTTTAAATATTGTTAACAAACATATCACCACTTGATTGGTAAATTGTTGTGTATTGTAAAAATGCTATATATATTAGAGTAGAGCCAGAGAAGAGGATCTAATTGAAAAGTAAATATTTCCTCGCTCAATCTTTTGTGCTTTCCAAATTTTATAGTAGTTTGTTTATTAAATGTATCACACAAACACTGAAAGTATTATTTACTGGATGACAAAGTTTCGAACAAAATTTATTGTTCATAATCATTTCATCAATCATAATCACACGACTTCGAAACTTGAGTTTTATAGTTTTCTCTGTCCTCTCTTATTTATTTATTATTTTTTTATTTTTGGTTACAGCTTGATGCCACACCGTATTTTTAATACAAGTATGGAATTTTCAGCTTGGATATCGGTAGCCCAAATTTCGCAGGCCGACCATGGATATCAGGTGTGCGTCGGCAGGGGGTCGAACCTCGGACCATGTGCATGGTCGGCGAGAGTCCTAACCACTGTGCCACCGATGCACACGTGATTGGGGTAGTAGAATTTTCCAGATATCTGGGACGGGCGTTAAATCATTCCTGTTACACGCGTATGCAGTTGATTCGATAAACAAAGCACCAGTTATCGATCTCTCCCTCCACCTTACTGTTACATTAGATTTTAAAACTGTCATCCTATCCCATCCTACTGCATGGTTGTGAGTAACTGCATGTAGTGATTGCTGTAGCTGAACTATTCTCTAGATTTCTTATCTTATTCGGGTCAACTAGTCTAGATTTTGCTAGGTTTTTATGTTCAGCTAGTCTGACTGCCCCTGTTCTACTACTTTGACCTATGTATTTAACCTGACAATCATTGCAGGGAGGGTATTAGATAAACTAAATTGTTTTGTTTAATTGTCTCCCCAGGATTGATCCTTTAACCGACAAAGCTTTTTTTCTAATTGAGTTTGAATGGCAGTCACTTTTATTCCTGCCTTGTTAATAATTCTGCGTAATGTTTCCGAATTCCTAACCATACAGGAATAAAAGTGGTTGGTATTCAAACCCACAAACTCAATTAGAAACAAGCTTTGTCGGTTAAATGATCCTGCCTGTGGAGCCGTTAAAACAAAACAACTTAGTTTATCTAATACTCCGCGTGCTGGAATGATTGTCACGTCAAATACATAGATCAAAGTAGTAGAACAGGGTAGTCAGTCAGACTAGTCGAGCATAAAAACCTGACAAAATCTCGATTAGCTGACCCGAATACAATAAGAAATCTGGAGAAAAGTTCAGGTATAGCACTCACTGCATGCAATTACACACAAAACCATACAATAGGATGGGATAAGATGACAGTTATAAAATCTAACGTCAAAGGGTAGGGGGAGAGATTGATAAAAGAAGCGAATACGTGTAATAGGAATGATTCAACACCTGTCCAGCCAGATATCTGGAAAATTCTACTACTACCCGCACGACGACAAATAGAAGAGAACAAAGAAAACTGTAAAACTCAAGTTTCGAAGTTGTGTGATTATAATCGATATAATTATGATTATGAACAGTGATGAATTTTGTTCGAAACTTTGCCATCCAGCGAAACAATAATACTGTTTCACTGACTATGTGATATATCCTATCTAATAACCAAACTAATATGGAATCACTTACTACCACCGCAGTGTCCAAGTTTTACACACACATATATTAATTAACACAATTTTACTTTATTTTATTCATTCATCAAATGAGAGATCATGTTTCAAATATACAAATAGGCATTGGCAAAACCAACATTAAACTGTACAAACTTTATAGGGAGAATAGAAATGCCAGTACAGCCAGTAATAATAATAATAATAACAATGTTAAGAAATCTGAACAATAAAAGAGAAATACATAATTTTCATCGTCTAACTTTTGTAGGTTTCCGTTTGTTTGTTTGTTTCTTATTATTGGAAGTATATTCTCGTGACGGTGACCAACGATCGTCGGATGAGAAAGACTCAATCGATATATCATCATCATCATCATCGTCATCATCTTCATCTGTGAACTGTGACCCACTGAATGAAGATCCACGTGATGCTGCTTCTTCTTCATCATCTTCTCCTTCTTCTCCTGATTCTGAGATACATGACATTTCTGAAATACAACAAGCATCACTAGTACTACTACAAGAGGAATTTTCACTGTCAATCGGTTCAATTCGACTTTTTCGACGATTTTGTCTAAGTGGACGTGTTCTTCTTCTCGGAGAAGGTTCTCTAGGGAGGGGGGTATTGTTGTGTTTTTGTACAGTTCTACTACTACTGCTACTGCTGGTGGTATAACTTGTTGACGGATGATTATGATGATGATGATTGTCGACTGTCGACGACGCCTCTAGACTTTGGCTTTGGTTTTGATTTTTCGATGTTTCAGTCGAAGGTTTAATACGACGTGATCTTTCTTGGATTAGACGAGCTAGAGCGGTGACTTGTTGCATTTTCACTATATGAGCATTTCGACGATGTGTAGTAGTAGTAGTCGGAGAGGTTGGAATGGAATTCGATATAGCATCAATCATTTCATCTAAATTGTAAAATACAAATACAAAAGGAAATAGAATGTCAACATGGTTAACTGTGGGATACAACGTCAAAAAAAATAAAAATAAATTCAAACGTTATTCGGATGGATATAAAAATCCTTAGAGATTGTCGTGATGAGCCAACATCAGTTAGTGACATCATCGAAAACCTGAGAGTGTGGTGAGAGCTGTCTGCGCTGGCCAAAATTGGTAGACAGTGTAATTTACGTCAATGTTTACGTCCCCAATATTGGTCATGAGAAAAGAAGAACAAGAACAAAGACTGACTGACTCAACAACCAATCACAGCACACTTTGTTTGCGTAGGCGGATACAATGTGCAGATAGACAATCTGAACTTCAAGAAACAGCCACAAAGAGATGTAAGATTAACGTTCAACGAGAAATCACCACCAATCAGAAGACTGTGTTTTTTTACTGACAATAATCTATAATAATGTACATGAAAATCTATAAATATCTGTTGCCTGGCTCTTGTCTTCTGTTGTTACAAGAGTACAACTGGACAGTTGTTTCCCCGATTATTTCGGGACTCTTCATTAGTGTACACCCACGACCCCGCTGAAGAGATCGAACCCGGTACCTTCAGGTTACGAGAATAAAGCTCGTTGACCATTGAACCACTTGAGTGTCATACATATATTTAGCATACAATTGAAAATTACCAATAAGTGACTTAAATGGGCCATTCTCTCTCTATCTAGACTTGTCCAGAAACAGTCTGGTAGCAATAGATCCTAGTGGAGTGCCCATTGCAATCTCATATTTTTGTGTTTGTAAATGACGTCGTTGGACGTGAATTACACATTAAGTAAGGATGTACATCGTTCTCTTGACTCACTATTTACCAACGTTTCAATTACGGAAACTGTTAGTCGTATTTGTGAGCATATAGACGAAAAACAAGCTGAACATCGGAACTACTAATGATATGCATCCTTAATGTACAATTGACCTTCAACGACGTCATTTACAAACACCAGAAGATAGGATTACAATGGAATCTCCACTAGGGTCTATTGCTAGCATACTGTTTCATGGCAAATCTAGAGAATGGCTGACGTAAGTCACCTATAGATACTTTTAAATGTAGTTCTTTTCAAGTATTGGTTTGGTAGGGATTTTGTTTAATTGCATGGAGGATTTCATCATGAGCTGACATCAGTTTGAGAACCACTGGAAAACTGGTTGGGAGTACTGGACAGCTGTTTCGTCCTAGTTTGGGACTCTTCAGCAGTACGCACCCACATCACGGGGTTTGAACCCAGGACCTTCTGGTTACAAGGCTAGCGAGCTCGTAGACCATTGAGACACTGGAACCCGATCCAGTCGCCAGTCCATGAATTCCAACTTCTGCCAATTCACGACATAGCGCGACCGTTTCGTAATGTCTTCTTAGATGAGTTACTGCCTCATCTTCAACCTGCTGTACCCTACTGGTCACGGCTTCCCACTAGAACCCCAGGTTAACTGTCTGAATAGGACCAGTCACTGATTGCGTTGACTCAGAACTTGACTTCCTAAAAGCCACGCTCACAGAAAGCGATTACCCGAACCGATTTATTGACAGTAATACGAAAGATAAACAGTCTAAACTGGTCACCGACTCAGTTCCAAAGAAAACCATTATTCATGAACTTGGAATTCAAAGGTGATCAAGCTTCAGATATGCTCAAAATCCATCTCTCTAAAGGAGTCAGTAAGACGTTCTTTGCAGCAAAAATACAGATGACGTTCACCAGCTGCAAGCTGTCCACACCTCTGTAATAGACAGGCTCTCCCGTCTAGTTGCTTCCATGTCCATCTATCAGTTCACCTGCTGTTGTGGAGCAAGGTACATTGGCCGTAGTCAGAGGACGCTCTCCACACGGATACGGGAATATATTACAGCGTGGTTTTACAAACGAAAAAGGAAGTATGTGCGGAGCTCTATTCTAGAACACCTGATCGACTCCTGTCACTCTGCCAAACCTAACCTTGATTTCAAGATCATCTACCGAACTCATCCTAACTTGCCGCGTTTTTTTCGTTACAGACTTCTAAAGACAGCTGAGGCCTTGGCAATTCATGACTTTAAGCCAAAATTTTTGTGTAGAAAAGAAGTATGTACAATTCCTACCTCTGCCTTGGCCGTAGAGGGATAGACATTCATTTATTTATTTTGTTTATTTAGTTATTCTATGTACCTTTCCATAATTACCACGATTATTATTTTTGATTATAGCTTGATTCCATACATTTTTTGGTACAAGTATGGAATTTTCAGCATGTGATATCGGTAGCCCTAATTTAGCAGGCTGACAATTGATATCAGGTGTGCGTCTGCCGGGGATCGAACCCCGGACCATATGCATGGTCGGTGAGCGCCCTAACCACCACGCCACTGACGCATTATTCTCACACTGAATTGTTTCCACTTGTCCCACATGTCATTCTAAATCCAAGATTATTATTTTTTTTACAATATTGAATTCTGTCTTATCAAATTTCACATCATGTTATGCAACATTATTTTATATTCGCCTACTAATCATATAATTATGTACCCCCTATATAATATTCTATATATGACATTAATTGTTTTGCTAAATGACATTTAACTGTGATTGTAATCACAAATATTTTAATTGCATCTCATACTACTATTATTATTTTATACATTCACACCTTTGATTTAATTCCCTCACCGGGTATAATTTCTTAAAAACCATATATATATGATTGTACAGCTTGATAATAAATTTGTTGAAAAGAGTTTCTTCGCGGAATACTGCTATCTTAATTCTACAATGGGAATTATTAAATTATATAAGTCTAACCACAGCCAAGGCCTTCGATGGGGATCCACTCCACCTCCTCGATATAGTGACCCCCCCCTCACTGCAGCTTCAGGAAATCTACCCACTAGTAGTCATCACTGACCTGACAAAGTTGAAATACAGAGATTTATTGAATTCCAGCCCAAGTAGTTGCATAGTCAACAAGCCTAGTCTTATAACCTGAAGGTACAGGGGGTTCTATCCCTGGCAGACCAGAGGATCATACGTAGGTGTGCACTGTTTGTTAAACAGCCCCAAAAATAGGAGGAAACAGATATCCAGTGCTCAGTCCTGATTTCTCAAAATAAAGTTGGTTCGTTACAGGATTTCATCATGAGCTGACATTGCTTAGAGTGACCATCGGAAAACCAGCCACAGGTAGTACTAGACAGCCAGCTGTTTCATCCCAGTTTGGAACTCTTCAGCAGGACCTTCTGGTTACAAGGCTAGCGAGCTCCTGGACCAATGTCTTCCGTGGCGAGTATTTATTCTCACACCCAACCTGCTGCACTCTACTGGTCACGACTTCCCTCCCACTAGAACAAAAAAAGAAACACACAAAAGCCGAATACACCCACCCACCCACCCACACAAATACAGAGAGAGAGAGACGCTAGGACTCACCATCAGAATCCAATAAAACAATCTTCTTAGAAGAGGATTTTGTTCGATTGTCAATTCGTTTACTGTCAATACTTGATGATAAATTACTTTTTCGTTTATTTGCACCACTACTACTACTCCTGCTAGTATTAGTAGTATTATTGTTATCAATTGATGAATTATGCTTAAGTAATGTTTGATTCACTCGATCTGCAGTCACTTCTAATAAATGTTTATAAAATTCCGACTCAGGATTCAGTGAATTGAGCAAAGCATCATTTGTTGTAGTAAACGAGGGCATAGACAGCATAGACCAATTACCAGCTCCAGCACCGGCACCAGTACTACTACCATTGTCATTTGTAGTAGTAGTAGTAGTAGCAGTAGTATTACTATTAGTACTAGTTGTAGTAATAGTAATAATAGTATTGTTATTATTATTGTTTAAAAGTGATAATTGTTTATTAGCATCTTTAGAAAGTTCATTTCTCAAGGAATTATATTGATTCATTAAATGCATATCAATTTCATCATCGATTCTAAGTGAACCGGATATTGCACTGGCAACACTCATTGCCGGTAGCGGACTAATGACAATCAATGGATCACCTTTAGTACAAAGACTTAATTGTTGATGAAGAGGATGGTGCTGTTGGTGGTGTTGTTGTTGTTGTTGTTGATCAGGTGTACGCATAGATGACTCTGAAGAGGATGAAGTTGATGTTGATGATGACGAGGATGATGATGGTGTTGTGGTTGTTGTTGAATTGAATAATTGTTGTTGGCCAACTTCTCCACCATTATTGATTACTAATTGTTGTTGAGGTTGAGGTTGTGGCGGTTGTGACGGTCGTGGTGCTAGTGGTACAATAGTATAGGGATGACGAGGATGACGATTACGCTGCTGATGCTGCTGACGATGATGCTGATGTTGTTGCTGTTGATGTTGTTTATTAAATGATTTTACTTTCTCTAATATTCTACTAGGTGTATCATCATTAAGTGATGAGTCTGAAGAGTCATCATTGGTTAAATCAATTTCAAAGGTTGTATATTTTGAAAGAGGAATTGGTGTAATTCTGGAAGAAAAAGAAGGAGAAAAGGAAAATGAAGGTGTTATAAAGGAGTGGTGGTGGTGTAATTCATTGATTATCCCAGTTATTCAAGAAAGCAGACAAGTCCTCCTGTGATAATCATAGGGAGGACGGCGGGAGTACCATCAGCCCCAATGGGTTGATCTCTGACGAAATCTTAGCACGAATAGAGAGGGCTAGTTTCGCATATGCCAGTTTACACCGTCCCTGGCGTAGACGTGATATCCGACTATCGACCAAAGGGCGTGTGTACTGCTCATCAGTCCGCTCTGTCCTCCTTTATGGCTGTGAGACCTGGCCATTGAGAGCGGAAGACATGAAAAGATAAGCTGTCTTCGATCATAGGTGTCTGCGTTCCATCTCCCGCCTGAAGTGGTATAATAAGGTGAGCAATATTGAGGTTAGGTGTCGAGTTCTAGGTAAGGCGGAGAAATCAGTCGACGAGACTGTGAAATTACATCGACTGACATGGTTAGGACATGTGTTACGTATGCCTAGTCATCGCTTTCCTCGACAATGGGCAATGTTAGCTGAAATACAGTCAGACTGGAAAAGAGCTGGCGGTGGTCAAACTAAAACATGACACCAGTCAATGAAATCTACAACAGTTAGTTTAAGCCAGCCACGTAGGAAGGTGTAGACTTCCTGGTTGGGGTCCTCGGGACGGTAAAAACCAATGGTTGGAAACAATTGGTGACATGGCTCAAAATCGTTCTCAGTGATGGCTGGCGCAGATGCATCCACTCCTTGTGACTCATGATTTCCAATGAAACTATATTGCTCTTTGTTATTACTATTCCTTTGTCTCACTCCTCTGTTTACTGTCTATATTATACATTTCTTCTACTTTCTTCTCTCGCTTTGTGTGCTACATGGAGTGTGGCGACTTGAACTGCCGCACATCGGTGCAAAGTTATGTGTCGAAGACAGACAGACAGGACGGGGGGGGTAAGGTAACGAAGAAATACATAAACAAGTATTTGAGATCGACAGCAAGCCATCTTCTCCTGAGGAAGCCTAGCACAACATAAAGTTAGCTGTAGACACAGGTGTAAAAGCTGTTAATGACCTGAAACCGAAAGTTAGTAAGAGCCAGTGGATTTCTACTACCTCATCCAAACTGATTAACGCAAGAAGACTGGTTCCTGCGAACTCCGATTATGATGAGAAGCGAAAGCTACTAAAACTAACAAGAAGCCTCCGAAACGACTGTGAACAGTGGTGGGCGACAGAAGTAAAAGAGATGGAAAAGGCATCGGCGATAGACAACAACGCCAGAAAACTATTCAGGCTTATCGCAGAAACAGGTGACAAAAGGCAAATGATAAGTGAAACAGTCTACGAGAAAAATGTCATCATAATTAGCTCTCAGAATAGACGACTAGAACGTTGGAAAGACCACCTTGAGGAGCAGCTTAATTGGCCTAAAGCCACGGTCAACCTACCGAGCACCCAACACATCCCTGAATGGGATATAAACATACGTCCTTCATCTCTGAATGGGGTGACAAAAGCTGTCACTAGTCTGAAACCAGGCAAAGCAGCAGGACCAGATATGACTCCAGAGGTGTTTAAGGACGGTGAAGACAGTTTACTGTCTGCGTTAAATTAGGTATTAGGTAGTGTCTGGGAATCAGAGGAAGTCTCGTCGGTCTGGTGTAAGTCATTGATTATCCCGATATATAAGAAGGGAGACAAGTCTTCCTGTGATAATTACAGGGGGATTGGCTTGACCAAAAGTCCCAGACTCAATAATCATGCGTAAAACAAGAGGTTCGCGGGAGGTTCAAACACGAGAGAACCAGGCAGGCTTTAGACCAGGAAGAGGGTGTTTTGATCATATCTTTACCCTTCGACAGGTTCTGGAACATAGGCATACTTACCGGGGTCCAACAATCATTATATTTCTTGACCTAAAGGCGGTATTCGATTCCGAGGACCGAGACGTAATATGGCGATGTTTGGCTGTGAAGGGAATGCCGAGAAAATACATCTCATTGATCAAGGCTCTCTACTCGTACTCATACAGCCAGGTGAGGGCCTACGGAGAGCTGCCTTCGGAAGTGGTGACAACCGCTGGTGTCCATCAGGGAAGCCCACTATCCCCATTTCTGTTTAATTTCATCATAGATGTACTAATGAACCTAGCCCTGACTGACTTCAGCGACTCAGGGATTGGCTTGGTGCCACCAGGGAATAATAGTCTGATCGACTTAGAATCCACAGATGATATAGTCCTTCTAGGTTAAGACACTGACAAATTGCAGAGTCTATTGAACACCTTGAGGAACAGTAATCGTCTAATGTTTGGCATGCGATTCGTTCCTGTTAAGTGTAAGATGGTTCTGCAGGACTGGACTACGTCGACTCCTAGGTTAAACATAGGCAGGAGTGAAGTGGTTGGTGGAGCTTGTTGACCAATTCGAGTAGCATATGCCAATTTAAGCCCTGTCTAACCTAGGTTTCGCGCTTGTCGACGCTTACCAGTCAACAAGGCGTATCTCCAGTCTTCAAGGAATTCACGTCCCTTCTGAGATCCGAACCGGGTCTCACCCAGTACTGCAGCCAGAGACGTTACCACTCAGCTATTCGAGCTCGTCGTTGACCTCCTGTAGCACTGCATTACACACTTTGATTGGACACTAAATAGTTTCATGCGTCTAGTTCTTTGTTTTGGTGCAGCCTGAATTCTCTGAGTCAAGTTTGGAATATGGCCACCTTGCTGGATGGTTCACCATCACGGTGCATTTCGAACTGTTGCTATTATCAGATGGTTGGAGGCAATCGAAAGGAAGCCTTGGATATAGGTTTCGTGCACCGTGATGGTGAGAGATACGTAGCATGGTGGCCATACTCCAAACCTGACTCAGAGAATTCCGTCAGCAGCAAACAAAGGACTAGACGCACGACACTAGTTCATGTCTAATCGAAGTATTATTATTATTATTATAAACACAAACTTGGTACATTATAAGAACCAAGAGATGCGCCACGCGAAATCCCATAATTTGTGCGATGTTTGAGATACTGCCACTAGGACACTCAAGACCGTCCTCCCCCCGAGCCTTTGATTTGAAGTCTACTCTACAAGGCACTGGAACAGTATCGGGAGCTACGTTCCCAAGATCTCCGGTGGGCGAAACAGATTCATAAACCATTAGATCTGTTAAGATTCTGGAGACCAATTGGCTACCCAGTCCGGTTGTAAGCTGTAGATATTCACAATCGCCCTTTCACTTTTGTGAAGAACCACGCCCCCCCCCCCTCCGTGTTGCCTGAGAGCTGTAAGTAACACTAAATTACACGAGGTTATGTATGAACATATGGCTGAATGAGAGCATTTCAAGAGGAAGACCGAAGTCTACCCATCCTCGACGGCAGAAGACCATTTATGAGGCCACTACTGCTTATCGCCAGTGCTCACCAGTATTATATCTCCCTCTGAGTAGACTAATCTAATTTGCTGGAGTCCTGTGGAGACGCATCTTCATCAAACATTTATCGTTTCTTTTTTTTAAGTAGAAAACTGGAGATAATGACGGTACTTCACCAAGTGTGTAGTCATCATTATGGATTTTAACACCACTTTTAAATATGCCCACCATCATAAACAACAACAAACTGGCGTTCTCGTCTCTTGCACACACATATATTAAAAGCGCTGCTTAAGTCAACCTAAATAATGCCAACCACGGAGTGCGAACACACCAGTGACCTTGAACGCACGCTCCTCGTTGGATTACAGAATCTGTCATTTATTACAGCGCCAATATGAACGCTGTGCAGATATTGATGTGCAATTTCATTCTGCTCTAGTTTTTTTTAAGTACTGTTTGGACAATAGGTTGATGACACTTTGGGTGAGGCAAAGGATAAGGGGTTGGGATATTTTATTATTATTATTATCATCTGTATTTTTCATATGATAAAATAAGTGGGAGGAATGTTTCGTTTTGACAGTAATGAAACTTGGAAACTGATACCCTTCATTGTAATAATTGGGAAGTATTTTTCCAGTGACCTGTCAGGGTAAAATATCGTCTTTAACGTGCTTCACTATTATTATTATTATCATTATCGTGTTAATATTTTTCTTGAATAAACGGCCTTTCGATGTGTATAACACACGACAGATTCTGTAATCTAACGAATCATATGTGTTCAAAGTGACTAGTGTGCTTTTGTACCCCATGGTCGCTATTCTCCATGTTCGTCCAATCCAGTTAGCTATGTATCCCCATAATTTACAATGAAATTACACTACGTATAACTTTATACGACTATTTTATTTCTTTGCGCTCTCAGTGGAACATCGGGACTTCAAGCTTGAACTTTGACATACCAGTAGCGGTGGTATTATTACTGTTGCGGCTTGTACTACTGACAAGATTTATCAGTAGTATGTAGATACAGATTGATAGGAAGTAGCAGCCAAAATTGAAAACAGCATTTAAAGTCAGTGGCTAACTCTCATTGGACGACTATTCTTCATAAGGTTTAAGTTAACCTTTACAGAAAGTCAACAACCAATCAGGACAGTTTGTTATCTGCTGACCTAGCCGACCATAAATATGGTTAGAAATGTATAAATATGGTGTGGTTTTCCATAAGAATATAAAAAATCCCGTTACCAAGTCCCTTGTTTTCTCCCGTTACACAGGCTTCACGCAATGAGGTTGCCTAGCTAGCCTCACGCCAAAACAACTTTCCCTCTTTACCGGACTTATTACCGGCTGATGAAGTTAAGGAATGTGTCAACGGCTGAGGAATCTAACTTCGGACTACGTGAGGTGTGACTGGCGACCATTGTACTACCACTGGACAATTATTGACCGACCGTCAGTAGCACACTGGTAGAATGCTCTCCGACCACACCCCACGTGGCTCGGGATTCTATCCCCGGCCACTGACTCACTCCTTACTACCTCGCGAAACCAGTGGTAAGACTGATAAAGAGGAGGGAAGGTTGGGAATGAGACTGGCTAGCATCCCAATCTCACTGCTACTGGAACTTCAAAGTTCTAGCCTCCAGGAGCCCCATGTTCCACTAGGAATGTAAAGGAATAAAATCATATAAATAAATAAATAAATAATCATAATTCTATAGTTGTTAAACTTACCCATTGACTTTTTCATCTGTATGTGGTAAAGAGTGATTACGTACAGGACTCTTTAATTTATCAGTAGAATTCCTATTTTCATTATCATTTCTTAATTCACTATGAGTGCTGGATGGATGACCTTCTTCATTCTTTTCGCCACCGTCACCGCCATTCTCATTAACATCATCATCATCATCATCATCGCTTAATATAATCACTATAGGTTCCTCTGAATGACGATTTTCTCTTACTCCAGTAGTGCTAGTGGTAGTGGTAGTGGCAGTAGGAGAAGTCGTCGTCGTCGTAGTCGCAGTAGTAGTAGTAGTAGCCTCAAGGCTATCAACAGATGTTACCGTTTCCTTGGATTCATTCATTATGCTTTGACTTTTTTCAGGGGAATTGCCGCTTTCGCCTTCACCTCCACCGCCGCTTTCTGTTTTATCCTCCTTGACAACACTATTAGTTTCTATCAAACAACTATCATGATTACCTTCTTGATTATTATTATTATTATTATTTGATGCGGCATCATCGTCGGTAGACTTGATTTGTGTAGATGGTGGACATTTGTCGTCAGTGAGTGAATCATTGGTAGCAGGAACAGTAGCAGTAGCAGTAGCAGTAGGAGCAGCATTAGTACTACGGAAACTGTTTAAATGCCAATCACCATTTGAATCCACATGAACAAATTCAAGATTAGCACTACGTGGATCTTGAATAATACTCATAAATAATCTAAAAATAGAAAGGAATACAAAAAAGGGGAGAAAGTGTATTTAAAAAAATGTTTTAAATGTTTGTTGGGTTTTTTTTTCTTTTTTCAAAGATTTTTAAATTATCAAGTGTAAAATCAAAATATAAATAAAATGAGACTTCTTTTTGAAAAAAAAGGGTTAGTGAATACTCTTCAGAATTTTAGTGATAAAAACGAATACGAATGTATTATTAATTAGTAGTATTGTTTTCTTTAGTTCCTAGAGGAATATAGGGCTTCAGCCAAACGTTTCCATTGTTTTCGATTCTCTGCCAACGTTTTCACCTGGCTCGACGTCTGCCACTCACATACTTTCATCTCCTCTTCACATGACATCCTCCTCCATGTCACCCTAGCACTGATGACCAAATCACCACTTCCCATTCGGTCGGGTTGCACTCAAGCGATGGTCTGGCATGTGGTGTCACTCACCTAATGGTTTGTTTTCTCAGAGTATGGCCACCAGTCCGCCTCCATTTCTTCCTGCATATTAGTTGCACGATTGGTTCCTGCTGGGTTGGTTCGTTCATTGCCAGAGATCCCTGTTGCTGATGTTTTCTGGCCGGTTATCTGATCTTGAATAGTTAGTATTGAGCGAAGACAGCTGTTGACGAAGGTGTATAGTTTGTTCGAAATGCCCTTCGTGACGTAGCCAAGTCTCTGATCCGTATAGTAGCTGAGTAGTGGTGTTGGTCTCCACACAGACCTGAGAGAAATGGAAGCTTGCCTTGCTTTTTCGATCCTCACTGCTTTGATATCCTCATCAGTTCCGTCCGCCTGTAGTTAAAACGATGCTTCCCAGGTCGGTAAGTAAAGGAGAATGCTTCTTTCAGATATCTCTCATTCATGCTGATTGTTTCCTGTTGTCTGTTGTTGTTGCTGTTGCTGTTGGTTAGGAATCTCCATCATCTCTGTCTTCTCTATGTTCACTTGAAGTCCTATCTTTGATGCTTCTCCAGCGAACTTGTTACTTTTCACTTGCATATCTTCCAGTTTGTGGGAAATCAGACATATATCACATCATATAGGCGAAGTCCAGATCCTCCAAGTTTTTTTTTAACGTGTGGGTACATTTTATGCCTGTCTCCTCGTTGCCCGTCGCTGTCTGTCGCATTATGAAGTCCACCGCAATCAGGAAAATCATTGGAGATAGTAATCATCCAGCCAGCCTTGTCTTACTCCCATCTTCAATTCTTCGAAGGATTCCGTGAGTTTCCCATTGTGCATTACTTGGCATGCAGCATTCTCGTACAACTGCTGGATGAGGTGGATACGACTGTACACCTGTAAAGAAGACAAGACTGAGGAGGCTGAAAGGAATGTTTATTTGGTGAAACGTATGGTACATAGCTAAATTTGGAATACCATATTCTCAACCGGCCATTTGCACATCATTTACCACATCCTTGACGAATTGGTCGAATATCGTCTCATTCGATAACTTCTTGGATTCTGCATCCTATGGCAACATTCTTCTCATGGTTCTCTTCTTTGATTTCTCTTTCCAGTGTGCCAAACATACTGTTACTTCGTTTCTGATATACTACTTATATCGGATTATAAGTAGCACTCACCACACACCAATTTTATTTGTTATATTATTTTATTCCTTTACGTTCCTAGTGGAGCGTTGGGTTTCTTGAAGCTAGAACTTTGAAGTTCCGGTAGCAGAGGTGTTTATTTTTACGGGATAGGGTTGGTAGCCAATCTTCCCTCCTTCTTACCAGTCTTATTACTGGCTCAGCGAGGTAGCAAGGAGTGCGTCAGTGGCAAAGGATCGAATCCCTGACCACATGGGGTGTGGTTGCCGAGCATTCTACCACTGTGCATCGACGCTACTATGCACCAATGCTATTTCCAAACTGTGTGTATGCAAACTTGCATGCATATCCTGTGGTAACGCATGATTTTATGCCTTATGTCACACAAACTCAAAGACTTACAGGTCCAGCAACACACGCACTGGTAGACAAAGCTGACAGTAAACTCAAAACTACAGGTGAATACAAAGAAGACAGTGGTGATGACGATAACCGATCTCCAACATCGACGACAACAACCAACAATATTCATTATCAACGGGAGAAATTTAAAAGAGATTTGCTTTCTTCAATTAACTAAGATGCAACGTTTCAACTACAGATGACAGAACGGATGAAGATGTCAGAGCCAGAATAGAAAAGTCAAGGCAATCTCTAACCACTCTGAAATCAGCCAGCATAAAGAACGAATTTTCATCACGAATGTTAAGTAATTCAGTCCCTTCAGATGGGTCAGAAACCTGATGAATCAAGAAAAGTATGTCCAACAGGTTAATACAGACTTTTATCAACAAAAAGCTGCCCCCTTCGCTGGGCACACACTGAGGAGACCGTCAAATGACATCGCGCACCAGGCCACTACTCGAGTGGAATCCAGACAGGAGAAGAAGAGTCAGGAGTCCACGGTGACATAGAGGAGACACTACGCAAACGTAAGATCTTATGAGCAATTGTGGAGGAAGCTATAGAGGACTGCAGAGAAAAGGTCGAAACAAGTGATTTTCTTAAGAGGCCACACCCCTCTCGCCTAACCAGTGAGTGACTTGAGGTCCAATACGCCATTCGACCTGTTCGGATTTCGGAGCTCATGTGTACCATAAGTTAGGAATCAGGGTTTTCTAGCCTCCCCTCCCCAAGTAGAAGTCTGTCTGTTTTCAACATAGAACTTTGCACCGATGTGAAGCAGTTCGACTCGCCACACTCCCTACTGGTAGCACACAAACCAAGAGAAGAAAGTAAAAGGGAATGCGAAATAGAAACAGTAAACAGAGATATGAGGCAAAAAGAATAGCAATATCGAAGAACGATATAGTTTTATTGGGTATTACCAGTCACAGGGTGTGGATGCATCTGAACCAGCCATTGAGAACGATCACTTTGAGCTATATCACCAATTGTCTCCATCCTCTATTGGTTTTTACCGTCACGAGGACCCCAACCACCACTAGCTACCTCTTTTCCAACCTGATGATCCATCCTATGTCAGTCAGCTAACATTGACCGTTGTCAAGGAAGGGGATGGCTAGGCATGCGTAACACATATCCTAACCATCTCAGTCGATGTAGCTTCACAGCCTCGTCGATTGATTTTCCACCCTCCTCGACCTACCTAGCACTCGACCGATACCCAACCTCGGTATTGCTTACCCTACACTATACCATTGTCGACCGAGAGGTAACTCTGGCGATGCTTGGTTGTAAAAGGAATGTCGAGACAATACCTAAGTAGAAGACCTGCATATCCGCCAGCCTTTCACTTTTGTGAGGAATATTTCCACCTTATGTGAAGGTAGAGTGGACAGGACTTATTTGGTTGGCAGAAACTATGAACACGTAGCCAATAATAATCACACAAACCAGTGTGTCATATCCTTTTATTCAGTGATCACATTATAGATTTTATCCACAGTTTTACAGCGATACAACAACAACAATAACAACATTGTACTTCCTCATTCGTGCGTCGGTGGCATAGTGGTTAGGACGCTCGCCGACCATGTACATGGTCCGGGGTTCAATCCCCGGCCGATGCACTCCTTTACCTCGCTAAGCCAGAAATAAAGCTGGTAAAGGGGAAAGGTTGGGCATGAGGCTAGCAACCTCATCCTGTAAAATAAGCACTGCTGCAGAAACTTTAACCCACTAGCTTGAAGCCCTATGTTCCACTGGGGAACGTGAAGGAATTAAAAAAAACTTCCTCATTCATTGATCACATTGATCGTTAATTTTTAAAAAAAAAAGCATTTCACTTACTCATCAACTCTTAAATCACGAAATGGTGAATGTGTACTACATATTGGACATGTCCAACGAGGTCGACGCAGATTCATTGTTAGATAGGAACTTAAATCGAAACATTGAAGATGCGAACAATTATACGATCTTACAGGAATCTGTAATGTGAAAAGAAGACAATCATCAATAGATTATTATTATTATAATTATAATTATTATTATTGAAATTGTTAAGAGATATGAAAAATATTTCTTTCTTGTCTTCTTCACATAATTATATTGAGTAGCTTTCAAAACAGGAACCAATATACACAAACACACACACACATAGGCAAACACATCGATCGGTCGATCGGTTTTCGACATAGAAATTTGTACCGATGTGCGACAGTTCAAGTCGCCACACTCCCTCCTTGTAGCACACAAAGCAAGAGAAGAAAGTAGAAGAAATGCATAATATAGACAGTAAACAGAGGTGTGACACAAAGGTATAGTAATACCGAAGAACAAAACAGTTTAATTGGAAATCATAAGTCACAACGATTGGATGCATCTGCGCGATCCATTGAGAACGATTTTGAGCCATGTCACCAATTGCTTCCAACCACTGGTTGTTATCGTCCCGAGGACCCCAACCAGGAAGTCTGCATCTTCCTTCGTGGCTTAGTCTAACTGTTGTGGATTTCATTGACTGGTGCCATGTTTGCGTTTGACCGCCGCTAGCTCTTTTCCAGCCTGACCCTATGTCAGCTAACATTGCCCGTCGAGGAAGGCGATGACTAGGCTAGCATGCGTAACACATGTCCTAACCATCCCAGTCGATGCAATTTCACAGCCTCGTCGACTGATTTCCCCTCACACCAACCTAGCACTCGACGCCTAAGCTCAATATTGCTCACCTTATTATACCACTTCGCGCGGGAGATAGAACGCAGACACCTATGATCGAAGACAGCTAATCTTTTCACGTCTTCTGCTCTCAATGGCCAAAGCAAACACATCCTCAACGCAATCCTACTTTCGCTGAAAGTCTCCAAACTATGAAAAAGGGGAAGGCAAAATTAATTTAAAATTCCTTCGAGTTACTTGTCGAAAAAAAGAATTCTTCCTCTAACAATTATTGAATTCAATTTGGATCCCCCCGAAGTGTCCGGCTTCTCTGTCGACAAGTCAACATTTCGTGTGGATACTTCAACGATGATGTCTGAGGGCATAAACTTGAAGTAATTTTGGTAGGTCGTGACTAGCAGTGAAATCAGCGGAACCACCAATCCCAAGAATCCCAACCAGTCACGCTGTTATGGATTTCATTGACTAATGACCACCGTGACAGCTCTTTTCCAACCTGATCCATCCTATGTCAGCTAACATTGCCAGTTGTCGGGTAAAGGCGATGGACTAGGCATGCGTAACACAAGTGTCCTCGCCATTTGAATAGATTTTCCTTGCTTACCCAACACTCGGTGACTAACCGACTCAATATTACTCACCCGCGTATACCACCCACCGGCTACGGGTGATAGAACACTGACACCTATGATCAAAGACAGCTCGCTTGCTAGCGTTTTTATGTCTTCCACTTTTAATGGCCACCATGTCTCACAGCCATAAAGGAAGAGAGGAGTGAACTGATGCTCAGTAGACGTACGTCAAATGATCGATAGCCAGAGGGATACCATGTCTTCGCCAGCGACAGCATTAGTTGGCGAATTCCACACGAGCCTTCTGATTTGCAACAACGATCGGTCCCTGGAGATGTTAATACTGTTAGTGATATGGCTCAAATCCATTTTCATCGGTGCAGATACATTCATTCTTTGTGATCTGCCATATCTTTTGAGTCCTCATGTCCTTCCATGTTACTGCCCCCCCCCCGTACATTTCTATCCACTATTGCTGCTTTTTCAATATCTCTTCTCTGCCTTTCTGCACTACATGGGATGGGACAAATTGAGCTGTTGAGCTTCTGTGCAAAATTCTATACTGGAACCCAGTCAGTTAGTCAATCTAGGTTTTCGATGAGAACATGAAGTTTGCATTTAGGAGGGGTGGGGAAGTAGGAGATGAATAAACACCTGTATGCACTACAATCTCCGACCATCCTTGATTCGGTCCAGTCAGTAAGCTGAATTGGACATATCAATATAGTTTTTTTTATTCCTTCACGTTCCCAGTGAAACATAGGTCTACAAGCTAAAGGCTTGAAATTTCTTTAGCAGTGTTTGTCTTTTTATACGATGAGATTGCTAGCCTCATGCCCAACCTTTCCCCTTTACCAGCTTTATTTCTGGCTTAACGAGGTAAAGGAGTGCGTCGGCCGGGGATCGAACCCCGGACCATGTGCATGGTCGGTGAGCATCCTAACCACTGTGCCACCGACGCAAATCAATATAGTGAAACTGAGTTAGTTCCTGGATGACATTTCAAACACAATTTATTAGTGCTCATAATCATCGCAATGGCGATTACATAACTTCGAAACTTTCGTTTGATAGTTTTCTTTATTCTCTCCCATTCGTCATCTTAGAGGTAGCAGAATTTTCCAGACGTCCGGGTGGACAGGTTGTGAACCATTTCTACTACACGTATTTTCAGTCGATTCGATGAATAAAGCTTCAGTTATCAATCTCTACCGCTGCACCGCCCTGTTATATCAGATTTTAGAACTGTCATCTTACCCCATCCTACAGTATGCTGAGGTGTGTGTAATTGCATGTAGTGAGTGTGCTATAGCTGAACTATTCGCCATATCTCTGATTACATTAGGGTCTGATCTGCTAATCTGACTGTCGCTGGTATTTGACCTCACAATAACATATCAAATCTAGAAATTAGTTCAGTTATAGCACTGCATGTAATTACACAGTCACCATGCAATAAGATAGGCTAAGATAATAGTTTTAAAATCTAGCAATAACAGGTTGAAGGGTAAACGTGATGACAGAAACTTCATTTATCGAATCAACTGATACTGCGGGCGTGATGGGAATGATTGAACATCTCTGTCTACCCGTAAATTTAGAGAACTCTACAATCGCTACGACAACGAATGGGAATGATTAAAGACACTTTTTCGGCACTCATAAAACAAGGAGGCGTATGTGCAATCTTGGAAGGAATTCATGTCCTTTCTGAGATTCCAACTTGGATTACCCAGTGTACCGCAGTCGGAGACGACGCGATGTCATTGAGCTGTTCAGGTTCATGATCGGTCTTCTCCTGTAGAATTGTTCAATGGATACTCTGATTAGTCACTGGGGAGATTACCGGTGTCATGCGTCTAGTTCTTGAGTTGGCGTAGACTGAAATCTACCAGTCCAGTCTACACAATTCCCTGATAATAATAATAATAATAATAATAATAATAATAATATTAATAATAATAATAGTAATAATAATATTCATATTAATAATGATAATAATAGTAATAATAATAATAATGATTTTGATCATAAGCTGACATTAGTTAGAGAACCATTAAAGAACCTGGGAGTACTGGACAGCTGTTTCGCCTTAATTTGGGACTCTTCAGCAGTATGCACCCACCGACAGGGTTCGAACCCAGGACCTTCTGGTTACAAGGCGAGCTCGTATACCATTAAGCCACTGGGACCCGATCCAATAGCCAGTCCATGAATTCTAACTTCTGCCAATTCACGACATAGCGCGACCCCTAGCCAATGTCTTCGGCGAGTATTTGTCGTCACACCCGACCTGCTGCACCCTACTGGTCACGACTTCTCACTAGAACCCCAGGTAACTACCTACCTGAACAGGGCCAGTCGCTAGTGAGCATCCCATTGATATTCAAGTGTTGGTTTTTAGTTCTGCTGAAGAGTCCCAAACTAGGCTGACGAAACAGCTGTCCAGTACTCCCAGGTGGTTTTCCAATGGTTCTCCAACCGATGTCAGTTCATGATGAAAATCCTGTAACCAATCAAATCCCTACAAACCAACACTTGAATAATAATAATAATAGTAATACTTAAAAAGAAGAACAACCTTACCTCAATTCTTGTTCGAGTAAGTGGACACAATAAGCATATTGGAATGTAATCAGCCGCTTCAACATCGCCATCTGCATCTCCATCTCCGATAATCACATCATTATCGCTGTCATCATTCTTCTCAAAACGAGATTTCAATTCAAGCTAGAAAACAGAAAAAGAAGAGAAAACAAAGAAAATTAAGTGATATTGTGTGAAGAATTGTTTAATTATTCTTATATTGTATATGTCCAAACCAAGTTCACTTTTAACAGTTTGAAAGAATTTGGGCATTGGGTATGTGATATTCATTATAATCAAGGTTTTCTTGTATTTCACAATCAATGAAAAACAAAACAATATTGTTTTTTCTATAGCTGGTTTGTGAGGATTACGTTTACTGACGTTTCGCTATTTAATGCTGCTGCTAATAGCTTTATCAAAGTAGCAATATTAAACCAGAATTTACAAAATCTCCTCAGCTTATGTATAATAACCTAATCATCTTTTCTCAGCAAGGGGTCATTTTTGCGGTGTCCAATTGACCAATTGGTAAAGATAACAAAACCAGGTGTAGATGACTGTTGGATTTGATAAGTGTGTAAAATTATAAATTATAATGAAATTGCTTATCACATTCGTATTGATGTTATTATTTCACGAAGGGGGTGGGTGGATGTTGTAACCAGGTCAAATTTGGCTTTTGTCCATCATTCCTATTCAGTTCAGACAATTCGGATTCCATTTCATATGAAGGGCTTCTGATGATATTAGACGTTCTTTGTGATTTCTGATATCTTTTTTTCTGGATTATTTTAATATTGTTAAAATCAGGTGATTCTTATATTATTTGCACTGCCACTGGAAATAGATTGAAATACAAAGATACCAGTGACTTCTGTTTATTACCTACCTCTATTTTCAATCTCTGTTGACTCTCTCCTCTCGCTTTGTGTGTTACATGGAGAGAGAGTGTGTGTGGGAACTCGAACTGCTGCACATCGGTACAAAGTTCTACGTTGAAATCGGTTAGGTAGTCAGTCAGTCAGACACTACAACCAGTCAATTTTCTACTAAGTAAAATCTGATATTTTATTGAGCGTCGGTGGCACAGCGATGGAGTGCTCGCCGATCACGTAGGTGGTCTGGAGTTCAATCCCCGGCCACCGACGCACTCCTTTACCTCGCTAAGCCAGTAGTCAGACTGTTAAACAAGGAAGCTTGGGCATGAGGCTAGCAACCCCATCCTATAAAAATAATCACCACTGCTACAGAAGCTTCAAGCCTCTAGCTTGAAGCCCTATGTTCCACTGGGAACGTAAAGGAATAAAACAACACAGTTTAGTACAACTGAAGACTTACATCCAACTGTCAAATAATTGGTCAAGAACATAAGACACACAAATGACATCACTGACTGTTCAGCTCATATGTGACAATAGCAGCAATGTTATCCGTCTAGTTAGTCCAACAAGTTACCAGTTAATAGGATAAGAATACTTGGTAAAAAAAGGATGTATTGCTGATAGGACCCAGGGTAAAATAATGACTGACTGACTGGTTTCAACGTAGAAATTGGCACCAAAGTGCAGCAGTTCGAGGCGCCACACTTCACTTAACTCATAGAGCAACAGAACAAAATAAAAAGAAATCCAAAACAGAGATAGGAGGCAAAAAGAATAGCAATATCGAAGAACAATAGAATTTTATTGAATATTAGAAATCAGAGAGACTGAATGCATCTGCGCCGTCACTGACAGAGAACGATCACTTTGAGCCATATCACCAATTGTCTCCAACCATCACTGGTTCTTACCATCCCCAACACCCCAACCAATCAGGAAGTCTATACCCCCTAAGTGGCTGCCTGACTGACTTAGACTAACTGTTACGGATTACATTGACTGATGAAGCCATGTTCTAGTTTGACCACCACTGGCTAACTCTTATCCAACCTGATGATCCATCCTATGTCAGTCAGCTAACATTTCCTACTGTCGAAGAAGGCGACAACTAGGCATGCGTAACACATGTCTTAACTATCTCAATCCATGTAACTTTACAATCTCGTCGATTGATTTCCCCTCCCCCCCCCCGATCGATACCTAACCTTATTATGCCACCACCATATCACACGGAAGATAGAACACAGGCACCTGTGATCAAATACAGCTAGCATAAAATAGTACATCATCATCATCATCCTTTCTCACAAATCATGTGATGATTATTTATCTTGTGATGGAGTTATACTATGCTGTGAATGTATCTTCATTTCTCACGCATATTGTGGTTTATAGTGTGTGCGTGTGTGAGATCAATTCATCGTCTTCTCTCTCAACTTGGCCTTTGTCACACCAACAACCAATCAGAACAGAAATTTCCAGCTAATAAGATCAGTTACCAAGATGAGCAAAGAAAGACTGATAACTGCTTCTTTCTGGACGCATAAATCGGGTTTCAGGCGCTTGATGGAAACGGCTTCAGCAAACTTGAGGAGAATTGAACTCTTTTGCCTATTGATAATTTTGAACGACTTTTCGACGTCCTCCTCATGACCCGTGTCAAGGAGATGCCTGACGATGACAGTTTAAAGCATCTGTTCCCTTTGTACGTTCAGAAAGAAACAGTTATCAGTCTTTCTTTGCTCATCTTGGTAACTGGATATTTTCATCCTCTCTTTCATTTGATTACGTAATGCCGGAAGTTTCCATTGTATATGATTATTGTTGTTCAGGATATTGTGTTTATTATTATTCTATGCCTATAGTGATTGATTGATTTTTGTTTAAAAATGAACTCTGTGCAAGTATGTTAAAATTGTTTCTGTAGATATATTTAATAATGACTTCGACCTGTAAGCAGCTGATGAGTGAGAAGCCATCGAAATAATCGCTGTTTGTACCATTTTATTCTGCATAGACCGCTGTTGTTGTTCTTGCTTTATTCAAATGTTATAACTGAACTGAATTGAATAAATCCGTTCGCTACTTTGTTATGTCTGCACCTGTTAATTACTATAACGGTAATGAACTTAACTGAGGAGACGTTAATACGTCTATTTGTCCGTTGTACCTTCTGACTCACCGAGCCACGCAAAAATATCAAGAGACAAAGGCTGGCCTGTAACTGTATTGTATTATTGTACATCTATTAAGAAACTAAACATCATATTTATTATACATTTAACTTATCACAATACAGTTGGCTCACAACCGTGAGATTGGACTGATCTTATTAGCTGGAAATTATTGTTCTGATTGGTTGTTGGTGTGACAAAGGCCAAGGTGAGAGAAAAGACGATGAATTGATCAAACATACACACACACACTGAAAACCACAATATGCGTGAGAAATGATGATCCACTCACAACATAGTATAACTCCATCACAAGATAAATAATCATCACATGATTTGTGAGAAAGGATGATGATAATGTACTACTTTATGCTAGCTGTATTTGATCATAGGTGCCTGTGTTCTATCTTCCGTGTGATAAGGTGAGTGATATTGAGTTGGTTGGGTATCGGTTGAGTACTACGTAGGTCGGAGGAGGGGGGAATCAATCGACGAGGTTGTGAAGTTACACCAATTGAGATGGTTAGGACATGTGTTACGTATGTCTAACCATTGCCTACCTCGACAACGGTTAATGTTAGCTGACACACATAGGATGGATCATCAGGTTGGAAAAGAGTTAGCTAGTGGTGATGGTCAAACGAAAACATGGCTTTATCATTCAATGGAATCCGTAACAGATAGTTTAAGTCAGTCAGGTAGCCACTTAGGGAGGTGTAGACTTCCTGACTGGTTGGGGTGTTGGGGATGGTAAGAACCAGTGACGGTTGGAGACAATTGATGATATGGCTCAAAGTGATCGTTCTCAATCAGTGACGGCGCAGATGCATTCACAGTCTCTCTGATTTCTAATATTCAATAAAATTCTATTGTTCTTCGATATTGCTATTCTTCTTAGCTCATATTTCCGTTTACTATCTCCTTCTTTTCAATCTCTCTCTACTCTCTGCTCTTGCTTTGTGTGCTGCATGGAGGGAGAGTGGTGGCAACTCAAACTGTTGCTCACCTTTGCAGAGTTCTACGTTGAGTCCAGTCAGTCAGTCAGTAATCCTCTCAACAGAGTAATTACTCATTGGATAATCAGTGGAATCTTAGGGTATGAAACATGAATCTCCTTAACATTAAAACACGTGAATGAATTTCGAATTCCTATTATGAAATATTGAGATAGGGATTGCAATTTGAGCAAATGTAACACAGTAGCGCGCACACAGAGGGTTGAAAGTAATAACATATACGAACTGGACCCCTGACAATCGACAGTGTTCATGAAAGCCACACACACACACACACCACCTTTATTACTTCTCATCATCAAGTAAATTTATTGGACAAAAAATTACACAGTGTTATACAGCACTATTTACTGAGTATATCACAAAATCTAAATGATGAAATGAAACAGATCGAAGTAGCGTTGGTGTTAAATAACTGTCCTATAAAATATCCATTGAGATAGATGATCACTAAAGCTCATAAGAAAAAGAATAAAAAAATAGTAGTGAAACTATTGACGATGACACTAATAAGAAAGAATTTAAAGCATCTACAGCTTTACCATACTTCGAAGGGATTTTTCATCAAGCCGGGATTACGATGCCATTTAAGCCTACAAACTCACTCGAGGACATAAGATAAACAGAAGGTGTAGCAATGGGATGCCTTCACGTGGCGGAGGTGTTTTTCACCAAAGTGAGAGGGCGAAAGCGGATGCCCGGCACTCTTCACCGGGTTGACTGTCCATTGGATGACAGTCTAGGGGAGATGGCTAAACCCTGATTCCAAACCTCCAACGACTGGCGTATGAAGCTCACTGGAGCTCACCGGCATACGTATGGACAAAGGGCTTGTTGGATGTCCTGGATGTCTGGCCCCATTCAAAAAGGCATATGAACCGAACTCCGGTCACCGGCTGCCAATGGATAGTGGACTCCCTATTCCACCCCTACTGCCTTGTAGGTCACACTTGGTTGTGTAAAGGCTAGAGCTGCACTCTCAAACAAAAGGCCGAGCGATTCTGGGGACATCACTCGTACCAAATTCCCATGAAACTTCATGAACTTTCTTACAAACGATTCTCACCATGCCTGGGCAGCGATGATTCGAGATGTTCATGAAGCCGGCTCATCCTCCCGTAGGAGATAGCAGAAGTAAAGTAAGTAAGTAAGTAATGGGATGCATTACCAATACCCACTATCGTAGCAGATATCTTTATGGGTAGCTGGGAAAATATTGCTCTTAATACATTTAATCCTACTCCAAAAATATGATGGAGATATGTGGATGACACCTTCACAGTGTTGGAAACACAACATACCTCTCTCTAGCTTCTTCACATACACATAAATTCACTAGTAGAGGGAATAAAATTCACATTTGAATAGAAAAATGAACAAGGAGAATTAGCCATGTTAGATTGTAAAATAAAACGAACAGAAGAAGGTAAACTGCACACTAACGTTTATAAAAAACCAACGAATTCTAATAAATATTTAGACTTTAATTTATCTCATCTTTTGTGTATAAAGACAGGCTTAGTTAAGTGTCTAAAAAACCGAGCAATAGCACTAAGTAGCACCAAAAAGACCTAAACGATGAAATAAAACAAATAGAAGAAGCGGTGGTGTTAAATAACTATCCTATAAACTTCATTAGGAATATCAGAAAAGGTCGAGAGTAAAATAAAAATAATTGTGAAACTATTAATGATAACATTAATAAGCGAGAATATAAGGCATCTACAGTTATACCATATAAGGAAGGGACATCTGAGGCCCCTTAAGTAGGATTCTCAAGAAAGCAGGAATTAGGGTGGCATTCAAACCCTCCTTCAAACTCACTCAGATAGGACAAGCTCTGTAGGCTAAAGGACCTGGTTGACCCAATTAAACAAAATTATGTAATTTACAAAATACCTTTCATTGACTTTGATATCAACCACATAGGTCAAACTAGTAGATCGGGCGGGGTAGTCAGATTGTGGGAACATGGTTTCGCTAAGGTAAGAATGGTTGACCCCGAGAAGATAAGTAATTTAGATAAAAGCTTAGCAATTGCAACGCATGCATTAACACACACATACACAACCATACAGTAGGGTGAGACAGAGTTCAAAAAGGAATAAATAAGTGGGTGCAGAGAGAGGGAGAGGTTGATTACTTACTGAATCTTTGTTCATCTAATCTACACCAAACACATACAATAGGAATGACTCATAGCTATTACCAAAATATAAAGAAAATACTACAACTAGTAAAATCAAAGGATAAGATATAATGTAATTCAAGTATTGGTTTGTGGGGATTTGATTGATTGGTTACAGGATTTCATCATGAATTCACATTGGTTTGAGAACCATTGGGAGTACTGGATAGCTGTTTCCCCCGTCCTACTTCGGGACTCTTCATCAGTACTCACCCACCGGGGCTCGAACCCAGGACCTTCTGGCTACAAGGCGAGCTCGTAGACCATTAAGCATACTGATGAAGAGTCACAAGCTAGGACGAAACAGCTGCCCAATACTCCCAGCTGGTTTCCCAATGGTTCTCCAACCAATGTCAACTTATGATGAAATAATGGTAATAATTTAGTAACAAATACGTTGAACTAGGAAAGCTTGAAAAGTCATCAGCCATAGGTCTACACGCTATAGAATCAGGTCATGAAAATGATTTTGACAGTACATCGCGTCCGACGCATCTGCAGCCCTAATACCCTGGAAGAAGAACTACACTTCCTCAAGGAAATCTTCATACAAAACGGATATCCACCAAGATTCATAGACAAAATACATCAAACAGAAGATCTAAAAGCCATCCGTGCCAAAAAAGATGCTTTATGTGAACCTCGACTTCAAAGATGACCTACTCAATGGTGTCATTAAGAGGAGGATTTTCACTTCTTTAAGAACTTTCTTCGCGGCAACACTGAAAGTAGTGTTCTCCAGTCGCCCGCTGATCTGCAGAAGCCCAAAGGACAAGATCTCGCACCTGACCACTTCTATGTGTATATATCAGTCCACCTGTCGCTTTGGAGCCAGGTACATATCAGTCAAAAAGAGTCAAAGAACACTATCCAGCTTAGCTGCAGAAAGGAAATAGTGGCCGTATAAGCAGTGCAGTAATCGAACATCTCGTCACCACTACAGGTCATTCCATCTCAACAAACGCCTCTTGCTTCAAAGTAATCGACAAAGTGAAGAACAACTTGCCAAAGACAATACGTTTTCGTCTTCTTTGCATTACAGAAGCCCTAGCTATTCGGTTAGAAGAACCAGAACAGTGCATACAAAAGAAAATTATTCAGCCACTTCTACTATCATGGTAACAACTCTGTTGATTTGACTTAACTTCTGCTTGTTTGCTTGTTTTTTTTAATTTCTTAAAACTCTTAAATAATTCTATATTTAATTTTGTTTCCATGTTCACTGCGAGCACAACTCTTTCATCGAAATATTCATGTCATTACGCAACTCTTCTTCAACAATCGTTTGTGACAACTCATCACTTCTCTTACTACCCTCTTAAATCAACATCCAATTCCTCTGAACGCTTATTACGTAACTCCACCGAAAACTTACTAACTGTATTTTCGTTTGACAAATTTGATGTACACACACATACAAAATAACCATATATATACTTGCGATTCTACAGCTATGAAAAGGAATTCGCCGCCAAAAAAGAGACTCTTCCCTGAACTACTGGTCTTCACTCTATTAATATTGAAATAATCCAGAAAAAGGGATTTCAGAAATCACAAAGAACCTCTAATATCACCAGAAGCCCTTCATATCAAATGGAATCCAAATTGTCTGATGAATAGGAATGATGATGGACTAAAACAGAATTTGACCTGGTAGCAACATTCACCCACTCCCCTCGTGAAATAATAACATCAACACGAATGTGATAAGTAATTTCATCATGTAAAACACACGCTGCTTTTATAATTTCATACACTTATAAAATCCAACAATCTACACCTGTTTTTACACCAACTGCCCAACTTGACAACAACATAAAAATTATATCATGTTAAAGAACAATGATTAAGTTTGCTATATATAAGCTGAGATTTTTATAAATTCCGGTTTAATATTCCTTTGACGAAGCCATTAGCAACATTAAATAAGCAAAACGTCAGTATAAACAAAAATGTCCTTTTGTTTTTCATTCATTGGGAAATTTTTCTTTTTTAATTCCTTCACGTCCCCAGTGGAACATAGGTCTCCAAGCTAGAGAGGCTTGAAGTTCCCGTAGCAGTAGAGTTTTACTTTTACGGGAAGGGGTTGCTAGCCTGATGCCCAAACTTCCAAACATTCCTAGATTGCTCCTCTTCAAGGTGTTCAGAAGACTCTGTTGCATTTTGTCAGCGTCTTCACCTAGAAGGACTATATCATCTGCATATTCTAAGTCAACGAGATTATTCCCCAGTGGTAACAAGTCAATCAATCACTCAGTCTCTGAAGTGAGTTAGGGTTAAGTCCATTAGTGCGACCCTGTCTACTGTCTCTGTTATGCATTTCTTCTGCTTTCTTCTCTTGCTTTGTGTGCTACATGGAGTGTGGCGACTTGAACTGCTGCAAATCGGTGAAAAGTTCTATGTCAAAAACAGAACAGAACAACCATCCATCTTTACCACTCCTATTACTGGTTTAGCGAGGTAAAGGAGTGCGTCGGTGGCCGGGGAACGAACCCCGAACCACATGGAGCGTGGTTGACGAGCATTCTACCGCTGTGCCACTGACGCACTTCATTGGGAAATACAAAATTTTTTTAATAATAATGAATATCATATAACCAGCGCCCAAATATTTTCTAACTGTTAAAAGGGAATTTAGTTTACTCATCATATAGAAATACACAGCAATTAGAATTCATGGACAAGTCATCGGATTTCGTTTTATAACCTAAAGGTTATGGATCCAAACCCTTCGAAAGTGGAGGGTCATGGGTAGGTGCTGCTGAAGAGTCCCAAACAATGACGAAACAGCTGTGCAGCACTCACTCCCTTGGTTCTCTAACTGTTATTAATCCTTGATCAAAACATAAATCTTTAGAAAAAATTTTTAAAAAAAACTTAACTGGCATTCACAAACATCAAAATACTTACCTTTGTATTCTCCATACGTAGTATACATTCAGGAGGTAGACAGCTATCATATATTCCATAAACTCCATGATGTTCTAAAGGCCCCGAGTCATCTGAATTTGTTGTTAAAGGTGGAAAATTTGTATCATCTAATACAGGTCCTTCAATGAACTTCTTCAATGCATCTGGATCTCCTGGACTGAAAATATTTCGTAGGTCGGCAACTGTATACACTCGATCCAGTGTCACTTGAACTAAAGGCAAACCGACTAGATGACAGAGTAAAGGAGAGACTAATCCATCAGCAAGTAGACTTAACAGATCCATAGTTTGATCTTCTAGTGGTGCATGCAACCAAGTCAATTCAATATCGACAACTTTATTTCTGATGCCAGAATTACATTTCATAAGAACCTATGGTAAGTTGAAAGAAAGAAGAAAATAAGGTGGAAATATAATCACCACCACCACCACATAGAGGCGAAGATTGGGGAGAGAGAGAGCGACAAGTGTACGGGGGGTGAACAATGTGTTTAAACTACCGACAGACATAACAACAAGGATAATTGTCTAAAAAGGTATAGAGGATTTGATCATGGGCTGACAGCAGCTCGAGAACCCCTGGAAAACCACCTGGGAGTACTGGACAGCTGTTTCGTCCTATTCCGGGACTCATCGGGATTTGAACCCAGAACCTTCAGGTTACAAGGCGAGGTCGTAGACCATCAAGCCACTGGGATCCGATCCAAAGGCCAACCCATGAATTCTAATTTCTGTCGATTCACGTCATAGAGCGACCATTTCGCAATGTCTTTTTCGATGAGCTACTGCCTCATCTTTAACCTGCTGTACCCTACTGGTCACGGCTTCCCAATAGAACCCAGCCCATATCACTGCCTGAATAGGGCCAGTCGCTAGTGAGCAGCAGATTAATTTTCAAGCATTGGTTTTGTTGGGGTTTAGTTTGATCGGATGGAGGATTTGATCATCAGCTGACATCAGTTAGAGAACCACCGGAAAACCTTGTAACCAGAAGGACCTGGGTTCGAACCCTGGAGGTGGCTGCGTACTGATGAAGAGTCCAAACTAGGACGAAACAGCTGCCCAGTACTCCCAGCTAGTTTTCCAGTGGTTCTCTAACTGATATCAGCTCATGATCAAATCCTCCAACCAGTCAAACTAAATCCCTACAAAACCAATACTTAAAATGGTATACACGCTTGGTGTATTGCGCTGTATTCCGAATGTATCTGGCTGGCATTCTCCATCAGAGTTGATTCTTGTCTTATAATCACGTCTCTGTTAGAACTGTAATATCATCATATATGACATTATTATATCTGGCATTAATCAGTCGAATAGAGCATATATAGAATGGTGGTCAAAGTCCTACCTCAACTTCATCGACTTCGAAAAGACTTTCGGTAGATTTGATCGTGAAGTAATTTGGAAACGAATTCAACACTATGGCTGGAAGAAGTGACCAGATCTTCATAAACCTCATTCAAAATCCGGCTCTATGACAATGCCTGCCACGTGTTACGTGATCCACGACGGAAAACTGATCGCGGCGTTCGAAGTCAATAGAGGAGTATGACAAGGCTGCCTATTATCATCAGTAATATTCCTAATTGTGGTGGACTGAATTATGCGTCAGACAGGGAGTGAGCAGACAGGAATATGTTGGACCAAAAATAAAAGGAAGAGTCTAGGAGACCTGAACTTTGTGGACAATTTATGTCTCATGTCACACAAACTCAAAGGTCGACAGGCAAAAACCAACAAAATGGCAGAAGAAGAAGCAGCACAGATGAGACTTCAAGTAAACAGAGAGAAGACTGGGGTGATGAAAATAACCTATGAACAGCAACAACAAGCTCCAGTCACTACAAACGAGAGAAACCGGGAAGAGCTCCCTTTTTCTCCTCTTATAATATCTAGGCAGCATCGTCACAACTGCAGGTAACAGCACGGTTGAGGATGTCAAGACCAGAATCGAAAAGTTAAGAATGGCCTCCACTTTGAAAATCTCCTGCATTTAGCATGAAAAGCAAGATTCGGATTTTCACTACCAACGTTATTCTATGTAGTCAGAAACTTGGCGTGTCACTAAAAACATTTCTAATATGCTGAAAACTTTTACCAACGGTTACCTTCGCTAGCACCATACTGACTTGATTATCAGATGGCCAGAAAGAATTAGCAACAAGAAACTCTGGAGATTCACCAACCAAGAACCTATTGCTCAAGAAATATTCCGAAGAAAATGGAGATGGATCGGACACACGCTGAAGAGACCATCGAATGATATCACGCACCAGACCCAAGTGGGAAGCTGCAAGTTATGCTAGATCCGATGGTAACATGGAGGAGATCATGTGAGGAGAAGAGAGACTATGGACAATCATGGAGCCAGCTTGAGAGGACCGCAGGGAATAGGACAAAGTGGAGATATGCTGCTGAAGCCCTATGGCCCACTCGGAACTTAAAGTTACAACAACATAGATAACAATCTGTTAATTTACAGTATCCTACCCTGCAATCTCTAGCAAACACAGGTATCACAAGTATCGAAGGATTTCAGGGCGACTGGGGCCTTAGCTGCAGATAACTTATGGATAAAAGTAATGTATATAGTTGGTAGGTTCCTTCCTATTAGTGCTTCCAATACGCCTTGATTATTCGCATGAACACTAATTCTCCTTTGGTGAGTAGCTGTATAGTCAGATGACAATGATATAGGAATTAAATCAGAAATTAAGTATCTTGGACTTATTCTCTCTTCTGATCTCTCCTGGTCTTCCCATGTCTCAGCGATCTCCAGTAAAATATTTCGCCTGACATTTTACATTAAGAAGTTACGGCACTCGGGTATAACTCAACCCCTCCTCCTCTTACAGTTCATAAACTCTTGCATCCTACCTATTCTTCTTTATTGTTCACCCTTATTCTTTCCTGGTTTGCTTAAAAAGGACTTTGTCACAATCCGTAGAATGCTGAAGACTGTCAGTAGGATAAGTGGTGTCCCAGTGGACTACATAGTTAACGTCGTTGTCGACAGGCACTTGACTTCGTGCAGTAAATTTGCTAAAGGGATTTTGTCTGACTTGGAGCATCCACTTCACCCACAGCTTTCACCTTGCATCTCCTCAGGTAGAACAATAAGTAACTTCAGGAAACTGTATGCTCGCACGTCTAAGTATAAAAATTCTATGATACCATACTTGGCACGTACTTTATGTGATGAAAATAGCGTCAGGCAAGAATTGACTAACCTTTTTTCATCTAGTAAATAAATAATCTCCTCCATCCATCCTTATATACCTTTAAGTTTTACTTTTATTATTTCTGTTATATTTATGGTCCTGTTGCTTCTTTGTTTTTACATTCATAACTGCAAACACCAACTTATCCCTATGACTGCTGTAATCTTTGTTTTTCCCCTCACCATATCATGTAAACAGAACATCATATTCAATATTTTTAATCATGCAAGGATTTGTATACCGCATCGACAATACTGTGTGAAACAAGCCCACGGCAATTTTCCACTTGTATTATTATCATTACCTTATCCGCTATTATTATTATTATTACTATTATTTCCATTTTATATGCTGCATGTTTTTTGATATTACCCCTATTGTAGATGTGGAAAATTTTCTGTGTGATTAATTTTATTTATAAATTAGGTGCAATATTGTGATTAATGCTGAAAATTCCATTCTATATCACAAGTACTGTTTTTGGAATAAAGTAAATCATTATTATTATTAGTCAAGCGAAACAGCTTTCAAACTAGGGGATTTAACTTATGGTTGAGAGTGAAATGTGTTCTGAAGCTACATAGACTGTGATGGCTTAGACGCGTTACGCACGCAAGTCGAACCATCGCCTTCCTAGATGAGTAATATTAGCTGACATAATCTTGGCTGGAAGAGATAGGGAGAAGGTCAAACCAAAATCTGGAATCAATCAATACATGAAAAAAAAACTTGATTTTACTTAAATATGGTGTACATACTTTTTCAGTAATATCAATAGACATACGAAGTCGTTTGCCTAAACGCTGAGCTTGACCTCCATGGAAAATTGGATCAGGCAGGGGGATAACTCGACCACCAACACGAACAGAAAGACAACGTGGTAGTGATTCCGGGACAATAGCACGGTGACTTGCACTGTTCGAAGATGTATCACCTGGAACGTAGAAATCTGTTGTAGCCCAGCCAAGTCTTAGTACTACTCGCCAATTTGAATGTCCAATATTCCTTTGGACAGAAAAATGTCATAAACGTAAATTTTTGAAAAATTTAAATCATCAATGAATTATTATTATTATTATTATTAACAATAGCTTTATTATACACAATAAGTTTACACAATATACGCAATTTTTAGAGAAGTTTATGGCATAATATTTACTCTTCATCCAAAAGTTTCAGGTAAAACAACCATCTTCATGTGACGCAGTGATCTCACAGAAATGCTCAACGATAGGGGATATAACTGAATGATTTAAAAACAACAAGAACTAAAGAGAATAAGATGTATTGTGTCGGATGAAAATTCAAGTAGCCCGACAGGGATACCCACTATGCCTATTTCTGTTTAATTTCATCTGAGATGTACTAATGGACTTAACCTTAGATGACTTCAGTGACTCAGGGATTAACTTCTTACCGTCAGGGAATAATCTCATTGACTTAGAATATTCAGATAGTCATTCTAGGTGAAGACGGTGACAAAATGCAACAGTCTTCTGAACACCTTGAGGAGCAGCAATCTTCGAATGTTTGGCATGTGATTCGCTGCTGTCAATTGTAAGATGATGAGGCTACAGGACTGTACTGTACTGGACTACATTAACTCCTAGCTTAAAGATAAGCAGGAGTGAAGTGGCTAGAGTAGCGTGTTGACCACTTCGCTTGTTTGGTGAGTTGCGTCAGCCAACGCCAGCGGGGTTGATTACTGACGAAATTTCAGTACAGATACAGAAGGCTCGTTTGGTATATGCCAATTTACGCCACCTCTGGCATAGACGTGATATCCGGCTATCGGTCAAAGGGCACGTGTACTGGTCAGCAGTCCACTCCGTCCTCCTTTATAGTTGTGAGACCTGTCCATTGAGAGTGAAAGACATGGAAATTTTGGCTAGCTATCTTTGATCATAGGTGCCTTCGTTCTATCTCCCGTGTGATATGGTGGTATAATAGGGTCAGCAGTATTGAGTTGGTTAGGCATCGGTCGAGTGCTAGGCAGGTGAGAGGGGAAATCAATCGACGAAGTTGTGAAGTTACATCGACTGAGATGGTTAGGATATGCGCTACGCAGGCATCCCTAGTCATCGCCTAGCTCGACAGCGAGCAATGTTAACTGACTGACATAGGATGGATCAGGTTGGAAAAGAGTTAGCTAGTAGTGATGGTCAAACGAGAACATGGCTTCATCAGTCAATGAAATCCACAACATTTAGTTTAAGCCAGCCAGCCACGTAGGAAGGTGTGCACTTCCTGGTTGTGTCCTCTGAGCGGAAAACACCAATAGAGGATGGAGACAATCGGTGATATGGCTCAAAGTGATCGTTGTCAATGACAGCTCAGATGCATCCACTCCTTGTGACTCATAATAACAAATAAAACTATATTGTTCTTCGATATTGCTATTCCTTTTGCCTCACATCTCCGTCTCCATTTCGCATTCCCTTTTACTTTCTTCTCTTGCTTTGTGTGCTACAATGAGAGAGTGTGGCGACTTGAACTGCTGCACATCGGTGCAAAGTTCTATGTTGAAACCAGTCAGTCAGAGATTCAAGCAAGCCACCTCCTCCAATCGCCCAGCAATCAAAACATGAACATGAGCGAAAACTGAATAATACTACTAATAATAATAGCATAAAGCCACATAAATTTAGCACATTTAGCATACATCTAAGCTGTGTTTACCGCACAAAATTCCAAAGCAAACAGGAAAACTACGTTGAGTGATGTATGCTACTGACAAGATTCATAAGTAGTTTATATATATGGAGGAATAAACATGTATATCTAATTGGTGGTTGGTGGCTATCAGTGGAATCCAGGATGCGCATTTCATCCTATTTGGGACTCATCAGCAACTGGATGTACCTACATTTCTCAGTGAGTGATGATGTTCCCACCGAGGCTCGAACCCATTGTCTATAGTTTCAAACGCCAAAGCGTTATCCACTAGACCACTTGGGCCACGAGAGCCACCTCTTGTGCAATGGGTCATATTAATTTAATTGAATTCGAGATTTTCCCGATTGATTGGACCGAATTGCTCGGTCTCAGGTTGACATGTCGGCTTCTTGTGCAGATGCTTCGTGATGATGGTCCCATCACTGACTGAGAAATTTAGATACATCCAGCTGACGCGTCCCAAATAGGATGAAATGCGCATCCTGGATTCCACTGCTAGTCACCATCCACCAATTAAATACTGATTAAATGCCCAGACATCATCGAAGCATCTGCACAAGAAGCCGATATGTCAACCTGAGACCGAGCACTTCGGTCCAATCAATCGACGGGAAAATCTAAAATTCAATTAAAATATATATATCATCTGTAAAAATATCGAATAAAGCGGAGAGATAGATTTAGTGGCGAAGAGAAGATACGAAAGCTACATGTAAAACAGCATGAAAAACATGAAAGGGCAAGGAAGAAGCACAATACGGTGTGGCTTCATTGCATATTCCCGCTAACTGTAACGCCATCGTTCGTTCCTATTGTGGTTTAATGACGAGTTATATATTTCCAGTGAAGTTTTCGCATTTTTTTCTGGTGTACATATTATCGACAGCATTATAGTCTTGAACTGCATTGGTTACATTTAAACAATGTAAAATCAAATATTTTGTGCAGAATAATATCAGACCATCATTTCGTCATTAATTCGTCTTTGGATCCTCTTCAGCTGCTTATAACCTTAAAGTTGATTATGTAAATGTACACAGAATCCTGTCATACTTGCAAGGATCAACATGATTTTTGTTAACAGACAGACATACAATTTAATAAAAAAACAATGTTTATAAGTACCACTTAGATAACTTATGAAGTAAGGGGTCAAAGTTCAAACAACAAAATACAACCGCATACAAACTTAATGATTGGATAAATTGAAAATTGAGTTGCACAGTCAAGAAAAAAAAGAGAAGACGAGTGGATGATGAGTTTAACTCAAGTCATAGGAACAAAAAGAACTGAATTACACTAAAGCAAATAAAAAGCAAAAGGGTGGGGATGGGGTAAAGGCAAAAGATTACGTAATCAATCGAGACGAAGAGATTAGACGTTGAGTCACCAAAACAGAGAAAAACTAATATGTGAATTTTTCTGAAAGCCCTAAGTCAGGTTTCTAAACTTTTGATGGTAATTGCTTCGGCAAATTTGGCCGCACAAAGCGCACACTTTCCAAACGCATCTCTGAACATCATCCGGCATAGCTGGTTAGCAAAAGGACAATGAAAGACAATCACACCTACCTAACACTCGACGCCTAAGCTCAATATTGCTCACCTTATTATACCACTTCACGCGGAGAGAGAACGAAGGCACCTTTGATCGAAGACAGCAAATCTTTTCATGTCTTCCACTCTTAATGGCCAGGTCTCACAGCCATTAAAGGAGGACAGAGCGAACTGATGAGCAGTACATCCACCCTTTGGTCGATAGTCGGATATCACGTCTATGCCAGAGGTGGCGTAAATTGGCATATGCGAAGCTAGCCCTCTGTATCCGTGCTGAGATTTCATCAGAGATCAACCCCGCTGGCGTTGGCTGACGCAACTCACCAAATAAGCGAATTGGTCAACACGCTCCACCAACCACTTCACTCCTGCTTATCTTTAAGCTAGGAGTCAATGTAGTTAAGTACAGTACAGTCCTGTAGCCTCATCATCTTACATTTGACAGCAGCTAATCGCGTGCCAAACATTCGAAGATTGCTGCTCCGCAAGGTGTTCAGAAGACTCTGCAATTTGTCAGTTACTTCACGTAGAAGGTCTATATCATCTGCATATTCTAAGTCAACGAGGCTATTATTCCCTGGTGGCAACAAGTCAATCCCTGAGTCGCTGAAATCAGTTAGGGTTGAGTTCATTAGTACATCTATGATGAAATTAAACAGAAATGGGGACAATGGACATCCCTGACGGACACTACTGGTTGTCACCACTTCAGATGACAACTCTCCGTAGGCTCTTACCTGGCTGTATGAGTACGAGTAGAGAGCCTTGACCGATGAGATGTATTTTCTCGGCATTCCCTTCACAGCCAAACATCGCCATATTACGTCTCGGTCCTCAGAATCGAATGCCGCTTTCAGGTGAAAAAATATGACGATTGTCGGAAGACTGGGATATAGAACTTCAAGATTTGAAGTTGCAGCAGTGACGGTGTTATTTCTATGAAGGGATGGGATTGCTAGTCACATACCCAATTCTTCGTCTTTCCTGGAGTTTATCTAGCCGCTGTTTAACTATGACAAGTTTAGGAGTACATTTGAATGACTTCAGCAGATAACTATACACAGAAGTACAGCATTTTGATTTGGCACACTCCATGTAGCACACAAAGGTAAACACAAGAGAGAAAATGTTTAAAAGGACAACAGTATGCAGAAATGTGAAGGAGAAAGACTACTAACATGGAAAACCACTGCGGTTCAGTGGATCTGAGAGATCACAATGACCGAATACATTTGGGCCATCTATCCATTGAGAACGACTTAAAACCATATCACCAATTGTCTCTAACCATTGGTGCTTACCATTCAGAGGACTCCAACCACCACTAGCTCTTTTCCGACAACTTGTACTATGTCAGCTAACATTACCCATAGAGGAAGGGGATGGCTAGGTATGTATAACACATGTCCGAGCCATCTCAATCGATATAACTTCACAGCCCCGTAGGTTTATTTCCCCTTCTTACCTATTTGATCATATGTGTCTGCGTTCCTTCTCCTGTGTTCAGTGGTATAATATTGTGAGCAATATTGAGGTTAGGAATCGAGTGCTAGTTAATCAATCCACGCGGTTGTGAAGTTACATCGACTGAGATAGTTAGGACATGTGTTACTCATGCCTAGCTATTGCCTACCTCCGCAACGGGCAACGTTAGCTGACTGACATAAGATGGATCAGGTTGGAAAAGAGTTAGCTAGTGGTGGTCAAACGAAAACATGGCTTCATCAGTCAATGGAATCCACAACAGTTAGTTTAAGCCAGTCACTTAGGGAAGTG